CCCCCCCAGCCCCCCCCGGTTGTATTACTTCACTTCGACACAGAGACCTTCATACTAGAATATCTATTCAGAAGGAAGCGAATAGCCTAACCGGAGGTTGCTTAAAGAATCAGGGATTGAATCCTTATTTTGTTACAGGGTTTATCGATGCAGTAGGGGAAGAGTGTTTTTCTATTTTATTTCTTCGTAGTAAAAATTCTAAATTAGGTTGAAATATACGAATAAATTTTCAACTAAAAGTAGATATTAAAGACAAGGAACTTTTAGGAAAAATTAAACAGGCATGCTTCGCTGGAGCAGGTGTTATCGTTAACAATAAGAGCAGCTCTAGATTAATAATAACATCTGTATCCGAAATAATTAATACAATAATACCTCACTTTGATAAATATCCTTTATTGACTAAAACAGTAGAAGAATTTGAACTTTTTAAAATAGCTGCTTTAATTATGCAAGATAAACAACATCTTACATCGAAGGGTTTCCAGGAAATTTTGTCTATTAAGGCTGCTATGCGTAATGGTTTAACGGGAACATTAGCTGAAAATTTTCCGAATACTTTACCTATGGTACTTGGCAGTTATAGCTTGCCTAGATCTATCACTAGAGAATCTACTGAAAAATTTCTTAATCCTAATTGAATTGTAGGTTTCACTGAAGGTAAGGGATCTTTTAAATTAGATGTAGCAGAATATCCAAGTGATATTCCAGTTAAATTAAATTTTCAAATTCTTATTCACCAAAGAGATAAAGAACTTTTAGCTTTAATTATTAACTATTTTAACTGTGGGACATCCAAAATGGGAGATAATCCCAAACAGGGATCATCCTATAAAATATTTACTGTTACAAATATTGAAGACATATTCAATATTATTACCTTTTTTCAAAAATATCCCTTACAAGGAATGAAAAATTTGGATTTAGATCAATTTATAAAAGTTGTAGAGCTAATTAAAACCAAGGGTGATAAAACTTCCCCGTCTGAATTTTATGCGGAGGAGTTACATAAAATTATGGGTAGAAAATTATACACACCTAAATCCGATAGTACATATGTTCCCTTTTTAGTTTATTCAAACGCTGACTCCTTCGGAGGAAAAAAGCTTTAATAGTTAAAAATAACCTAGGTAAATCTGGTGTTTATTGTTGAGTTAATAATGAATCTGGAACTCGTTATGTTGGTAGTTCTATAGATTTAGGGAAAAGATTTCTTAATTATTATAATTTGAAACATTTAATCCTAAATAATATGTCTATATATAAAGCATTGTTAAAGTATGGACATTCGAAATTCAGTCTAGAAATTTTAGAGTATTGTGAGATTAATTGTGTTATAAATAGAGAGCAGTATTATATAGATTTGATAAAACCTAATTATAATATATTAAAAGTAGCAGGTTCTCCCTTAGGTTATAAACATACACCTGATGCTATAAAAAAATTAAGGTTATTAGGTACAGGGCGTAAGCTTTCTGAAGAAAGTAAAGCTAAACTACGTGCAGCTAATATAGGTAGAACTGTTTCAGATGATATTAGATTAAAAATTAGTCAAACCAAATTAAAAGCTAATTTAAAACATTCTGAACAAGCTAAGTTAAGAATAGGAGAAACATTATCAGCTCTAAACGGATGAGTTACATATGTAACTAATGTAAAAACAGGAAACACTGTAAGTTATCTTTCTCGACATAAGGCAGCAATAGCACTAAATATATCTCCTCTTACATTAAAAAGATATATAGAATCTAAAAAACTTTATAAAGATACTTATAAAATTACCACTTCTGCTTCTTAAAAAGTAGCCGTGTCTCCCTAGTTACTATAACATAAAGTAGTTTTAGAAAAGATACGAGAGTTTCTTCTAAGTCAATTGGACGAATACTCATATATATTAGGTAGTTGTACTAAATTAATTAATGTTTATGATAAAAAAGTCAGAGGTAATAATAAGCCTATCTCTACTTTAGAAATCACACAAATTGATTATTTATGTAATATATTAATACCTTATTTTGATACTTTAGAATTTAGGACTAAGAAATTTAAAGACTATTTGGATTTTAGAACTATAGCTTATTTAATATATCAAGGTAAACATCTCATGCTTCTGTGCAAGGCAAAAAGGAAAAGGGTCAACAATTAATTATTATATTAGGGGATACTATAAATAATAATAGATTGTCTACTAATTCTTCTCCTTTATCTCTAGATAATGCCACAAAATCTGAACTAGATCTTTTGGTTAAATCCAAACCTTTAATTGATATAGATTCTGAAGGTAGAGCTATGATAATTAATGCAAAAAAATATATAAGGTCTACCTATATTATTAAAGCAGTTTTTTCTAACGATTGTATGAGTTATTTTACCCATGGAATTTCTTGTGCTAAGGCTCTAGATGTAAGTAATAATATTATTACACAGCGTTTAAACGATGGGTGCATGCTTATTTCGGACGAAGTACAGCCAGCCCCCCCCTGTAAAAAACAAACAAGGTTTAGTCGTCGCTCAAACTATTAAAAGAATAAAAGTCTACTCTTCTTCTTCTGACACCCTTACATCGAATGTAGTGATGTGACCATGCTTCTGTGCAAGGCAAAAGGAGGGATAGATCTTTTAAATAGATTCTTTTAACAATCTCCTGGTTTATATTACTAATAAGGTTTACGGTTATATGTATTACAAACCTTATGAGTGCAATTCCATGAATTGGACAAGATATTGTTGAGTCAAGAAATATAACAGAAGATATTAAGGCAACTGTTTTGCCTACTATTGGTACTGTTAGTATACACGCATTAAAAAAGGGTAATAAAATCAGATTAAATAAAAAAGAATATCTCTCTATTCCTTCATCTTTTATAGCTTTTTTAGTGGGTTTTATAGATGGGGACGGCTATATTCAGGTAACTAGATCTACAAAAGGGTTTATAACCATTAAACTTGTAATTTCCATACATTTAGATGATATTTCTACATTACAATATATGCATTCTGTATTAAAAATAGGTAAAATTACAGTATATTCTGACGTAAAAAATCCCAGATGTAAATTAATAATTAATCGAACGGATTTACAAGAAGTTTTTTTTCCATTGTTAATACATCATGGTATATTTTTTTTAACGGATACTCGTAGAGCTCAGTTCGATTTAGCTATGTTAATATTAAAACAGGATATAAAAGTTTATGATGAAATACCCTTTGTAAGAACTATATCCTCCTTACATTTAAAAGAAGCTCCCCAAACAGCTGAAGCTTATGTAAGATTATGATTTTTTAAACACTGAATTGTAGGGTTTACTTGCGCGGAGGGTTCTTTCTTTATGAAAAATAATAATGATGGATGCTTTCAAATAAAACAGAGAATACACGTGTTGTTATTTGAAGCTTTTAAACTGGTGTTTAATACAAATAGAAAAATAGATACGGAAAAAGGTTTATATAATCAATTTAGTGTGTGTTCTAAAGCTGATATACAAACAGTGATTAACTTTTTCTCCTTTAAGGGTTTTCATCCGTTAATTGGGTTGAAAAGCCTTCAATATTTAAAATGATTAAACCTTTTACGTAATAGTTATCGTTATAAAAATCTTAAATTTCCTCTGTTGTAATAAGCGTAGCTGCTGTATTTCATCCGAAATAAAGCGTGCTCCCTTAGAGAAAAAAAAAGCCTATTCTTCTTATTCTATAAGCGAAGCCTTACTTGGCTTATTCCTTATTTATTATATAAATAAGGAAAAATAAAGTAGGAAACCCTGCGACCATGCTTCTGTGCAAGGCAAAAGGAGGGAGGTGTCATACTTCTGCTTCGCTTTGCTTTCTTTTTTGAGCTTTGCTTTGCAGAAGTGACCATTGCTTCTGTGCAAGGCAAAAGGAGAGCGACCATTGCTTCTGTGCAAGGCAAAAGGAGGAGAGCAAAGCAAAGCAAAGAAGCGACCTGACCATTGCTTCTGTGCAAGGCAAAAGGAGGAGAGCAAAGCAAAGCAAGGAAGAGAAGACATCCCAGTCCCCCCCCCCTTTTTTTATGCGATACACTAACACCAAAAGTTATGTTAATAGAGGCTCCTTAAAACAGTAATGTTTTAGAGGCAAATGAGGAAAATTGCAAGAACATTTATTTAACCTACCACGGGTAAATTAAATTACCTGCAGCGAAGTTTGACATGGTATAATTTTCTACTTCCTTATTTATATAAGGGGAGGTAGGCGGGATATGTCAAAAACGTTCAACGACTAACAAGTGAGCAATACCGCAATAAGCTTGACAAGAAACCCTCACAACCTACTTATGGCTTTTAATTTTTTTTTTTTTTTTGCAAAGCACAAAAGCACAATACTTCTGCTTCTATGAAATAAGCCGGCTTGAGCGAAGCAGAAGTATGGGACCTTCGGAGCGCTCTTATTTATAAGTACTGCTGTTATACAGAGCAGAGCAAGCAAAAAGTTTTTTTTTATAAGTGCTGGTTCTGTTCCTTATTTTCTTTAGAGTTATAATTCACGTGAATATATAGAAAAAAAAAATAACACAGAGCGTTTAGTTAGGCTCCCTTGTGCTTTGGATCCCCCCCCCCCAGACTTCTGCTTCTGTGCTTTGCTTCTGTGCAAGGCAAAAGAAACATGCGACCATTGCTTCTGTGCAAGGCAAAAGGAGAGCGAAGTCTGGGGGAAGAGGGTTTTTCTTATATATATAAGGAATAATAAAACCAGAAAGGCTAATGCTTTGCCATAAAAATAGGGATTAATACAATTATTTAATTTCCTACAATAAAGTAATAGCTAATTTCTTTTTTTAATTAAATATTTTTATAAAGTTAGATAAATTAAATAGGTTGAAGATATAGTCTAAACAAAGCCGTGAGGTTTTGAGGATAAAATTTTAAATTTTTATCGTATATATTTGTTCTATGAGGTGGCTTAAGTCAATTATTAATTGAAGAGCCTAACAACAGTGATGTTGTTCAGCAAATTCTGCTTAATGCTGGAATATCCCCAATAGTATTAGGATACGTGTGTATTATTAATACATACGTGAAAAAGCCTAAATCAAGGGGGCAATCAGCCGGGGTTAGAGAGTTATCAACTTACGAAGCTCCTCAGAGACTAAACGCAGAAAATCTTAAATACGCTTATTTAGTTGGTTTGTTTGAAGGTGATGGGTTTTTCACTGTTACAAAAAAGGGAAAATATTTTCAATGTGAATTAGGTATAGAGTTAAGTATAAAAGATATTAAACTTATATATAAAATTAAAGAGATGTTAGGTGTAGGTGTTGTTGGTTTTAGAGTTAAAAAGGGTAATGGCATGGTATATTTAAGAGTTCGAAAAAAAGAACACTTAATAAATAAAATATTACCTATTTTTGATAGATATCCTCTTTTTTCTAATAAACAATATGATTACTTGAGATTAAGAAATATTATTTTATCTAATGAAATATTTTATGATGCTATACCTGTGTATTCTCGCCCTACTTTAGCTCTTAATTCTATTAAGTCTATACTTACTGCACCTTACTTTTCTGCATGATTAGTAGGATTTATTGAAGCTGAAAGTTGTTTTAGTGTATATAAATTAGATAAAGATAAGGATTATTTTGTAGCTAGTTTTGATATAAGTCAAACTAATGGTGAAATACTTATTTTAGCTATTCGTGAATATTTATCTTTAACCCCTAAGGTTTATAATGACAAAACTAATAATTTTAAATTGAAAGTTACAAGTGTGAGATCTATAGAAAATATTATTAAATTTATAACTAAAGCACCTGTAAAACTATTAGGGTATAAAAAGATCCAATATATACTTTGAATTAAAAATCTTCGTACTATACCAAGGTACGCCGAAAAAATCCATATTCCTGACAAATACTAAATACAGTTAGATTATGATATAGTCCGAACAATAAAGAAATTTATTGAGTGTAACGAGAATTTTCTTTTTGGGTATCTTTTTTTTAGTGCATGCCTTATTCCATCAGCCGGGTGCTCCGGGTGCATGCATATTTCGGACGAAGTACAGCCAGCCAGCCAGCCAGCCAGCCAGCCGTGCTTTTGTGCTTTTGTGCTTTTGTGCTTTTGTGCTTTTGTGCTTTTGTGCTGACGAAGTATTGTGCATACTTCGTCAGCAAAAAAAAAAAAAAAAAAAAAAAAAAAAAAAAAAAAAAAAAAAAAAAAAAAAAAAAAANAAAAAAAAAAAAAAAAAAAAAAAAAAAAAAAAAAAAAAAAAAAAAAAAAAAAAAAAAAAAAAAAAAAAAAAAAAAAAAAAAAAAAGAAAAAAAAACCCAACTAATTAGCCTAGGTTACTTAGATGATTATGGGGTTACCAACACAATTGTTCCGTTAATAATGCTACATTAAACAGATTCTTCGCTTTACACTTTGTTTTACCTTTTGTATTAGCTGCTTTAGTTTTAATGCATTTAATTGCACTTCACGATAGCGCTGGATCAGGTAATCCTTTAGGAATTTCAGGTAACTATGATAGATTACCTTTTGCTCCTTATTTCTTATTTAAAGATTTAGTAACCATATTTTTATTTATAATTGTATTGAGTGTATTTGTATTCTTTATGCCTAACGTTTTAGGTGATAGTGATAATTACGTAATTAGGGAAATTTAGTTACTGTCATAATGAACTTATGGCTATAAACCTTCAAATTGCGGGAAGTCCCTAAAGCAATTTCAACCAAACTAACCTAGTAATAGAGTTTGTGGCACAGGTAATGACTCGTGATATGGTAAAATCGAAATTGATTATGCTTATTTTTATAATAAGGATAAATGGGTAATCCGCAGCCAAGCAGCTGATATAAGATATTAGGTGTGCAGTTCATCGACTAAATGTAGGTTGGCTGTATGGATAAAGATCCATATAGGCTTAAGATATAGTCAAGCCCCATTCGAAAGAATGCAGGAAAACCCTCAGTTTTCCGTTAAATGGATAGCTTTAAAGCTATTTAGGGAGAATGCCTCAGGCATAATGGTTATTTGTTTACTTTCTATCCTTTTTTAAAGACTGAAAGTTCTGATACTTCTATTCCTTTAAAGCATTTAACTCTAAAGGAACCCGAAAATATCAAACCTACTAAGGGTAAAGTAGGAAATAGAGAAATGACCGTTTTGGAAGTAAATAATTTTTTTTTAACTTTACAAAATCGTCCAGATCCTTTAGCTAAAGGTTCGGATAAAGAATTTGCTTTACTTGCAAACGGATTTTGACAAGCGGAAGGTTACATAGGTGGTATTTTTAGATCTGATCTGAATTTTTATCCTATTTGTTCAGCTACTCAGTTGTTTTCAGAACAAAGTGTGATATTTTTTTTAAGATTAAATAAGGCTTTATGCAACAAAGGTACTTTTAATATACATTTGAATAGCATGGAGAAGTTTGTTATCCAGTATAGATTATCTGGTTGAGAGACTTTTTTGGCGGTTTTTGTTCCATATTTTTCTAGGCTTTATGGAGCAAAGTTTCAAGCCATCTTTAAATTAAAAAGAATATACGAATTGAAGAAACTCTTGCATGCAGATGGAATTGTGAGGCCAGCACGTGCTACGCATGCCTTATTTCGGACGAAGTACTGTGCTTTGCAAAAGAAAAAAAAATCTCTTGCATGCAGATGGAATTGTGAGGCCAGCACGTGCTACGCATGCCTTATTTCGGACGAAGTACTGTGCTTTGCAAAAGAAAAAAAAACCCAGACCAAATCTCGAAAGTTTTATTGATAAAACTTGCTTATTCTTTAACTGCACATAGTTCTCGTTATAAATTAAGTCTGAATATTCTCTAATTGAAGAAACTCTTGCATGCAGATGGAATTGTGAGGCCAGCACGTGCTACGCATGCCTTATTTCGGACGAAGTACTGTGCTTTGCAAAAGAAAAAAAAAACCCAGACCAAATCTCGAAAGTTTTATTGATAAAACTTGCTTATTCTTTAACTGCACATAGTTCTCGTTATAAATTAAGTCTGAAAGATAAATTACTTTCACTTAGTCTAGATCCACTTCTTTTGAATGAATTACCGACGCTTTCTTATCCTGAAAATAATACTTGTCCTGCTTTTTTATTTATATTCGGATTTTTTTTAGGAGATGGTACTTTGCATTTAAAATTAGAGTGGAAACCGAAAAATTGCACGGTAGTTATTGTTCCTTTATTTAACATCTTACAATCTAATGTTGAATCTAATAAGCAAATGATGAAATTAATGACTAACGCTTTAAATGATCTGCATATAAAAACTTCTTTAGTTGAAAGTACAGGTACTTTAACCCTAACGGTTAAAGGTATAAATAATGTTTTTAAATCTTTATTTCCTTTACTTAAAAACCACTCACACTTTTTATATTTAAAAATTGATAGCATGAACTTATTATCTTGAGTAAACCGCTTGGTAAATTGCGGAGGTCATCATACTTACTTTGGGCTTATTGCACTTATTAATAAAGTTTATAGCTGTGTTAATGAACGTTTTACACCTAAGGAAGTTTGACTGAGTCGTTTAGATGACTGGTCGAAAGCAGTTTCTGATCGTAGAGATTTAGGAGAACATTACATATCCTCTGTATATACTCCAAATAAGGAGATTAGAGGTTGACAAGTGCGTTTCCCATCTACATTAAAATTGCCCAAGTCTAATAAAGCCTTTATGTTTTCAACATGTGGTGGACAAGCCAAAGCTTTGGCTTCCGCTGTCCTATATAGAGATAAAATTATTTCAGATTTAATTAATAGCCTTTAAAGTTAGGTATAGTTTAAGTCTAGAGTAGTAATAATTCTATTAAGCCATAATTTTAAGTTTTTCTATTTCATTGCTTACCCTAAATTCTCTAGCTAAACTATTTTAGCTAGAGATGATAAATAACCACGCCTAGGTATACCTGGGCTAACCCTATGCAAACTCCACCTGCTATCGTTCCAGAGTGATAAACAAAAGATGTCACTTAATCTCACTATATGCTGGAAACTCCTAAAGGTTTAAGTACTAGTATTACTTCATAGAGGACGAGTATTATTTTATAAAGTATTACATCCTAGCAAGTATTGGCTTTTTTTTTTACCTGAGCCTATAAACGCTAGGTACTAGTGAAAATCTTAAATATATTACAATGGACAATCAGCAGGAAACCCAAATAATATATTTTTTATTATTAAAGGTTTAAGTACTAGTATTACTTCATAGAGGACGAGTATTATTTTATAAAGTATTACATCCTAGCAAGTATTGGCTTTTTTTTTACCTGAGCCTATAAACGCTAGGTACTAGTGAAAATCTTAAATATATTACAATGGACAATCAGCAGGAAACCCAAATAATAT